TGACGTCTGAGGCATGCAAAGATCTCCACAAAGGCACAACTGCATTCTTGCTTCCAATCTCCACTATTGCTAGTTCAACTGGTGCTCATATATGAAACTGCAGCAGGTCAGGAGATCTTCAAACCTGACACCAGATCATGCAACATTATGCTCAACAGAAAACCTTTCCTTTTATGAAGTCGCCCTGCCTGACATAGTATCTGATGCTGAGAGTGGGTATTTTGAAGACCTTGATTGATGTTCGATGGCATGCACCCTTGTGGGATCTAATCACAGGGAACTTGATGATAACGTGTTTGCACAGTGCTTCCAGAGTAGACAGTTCTTTGAGATTTTGCCCAAGTGGAACGAGGTAGCATGATGGAACTGCCTGACATGCCAGGCCCCCGTCGGCCATGTTTGACATTGCTGTCATAGAATGCCTTCTCGTGAACAAATGATATATAAGCACATAGTGCCGTGTTTGAGAGGATGCCACTTCACGATGTTGTGTCGTCCAACAACTGAGTTTGCACAATGGAATGGATGCGGAGGCAAGGAGGATATTTTTTGTAAAGAAAGAAAGGGGTATGATCTCTTGCAATGTGACGATTTTATTGTAGAGCATTTTTTTTCTAGCAAAAGATGATTCAGTCCAGCTGGGTACATGGAATACTCTAGCAAAATCGTTGACATGACTTGTGGTTTGACGAAAAGTTTTGAGGACAACATGAAAATTGAGATGACAAGAAATGTTTGATTAAATGTCGATGCACAAAGTATTGTAAACGTCAGTGTTTCAGAAAATGGCTGCTTGGAGCAGTGCCAAAATAGATAAATAGATTCCGCTTGGACGAGGCCAGGCTTGCATTCCACAGAATGCTGCAAATGCACGTTGTGTCGTGGAGCTCGGTGATCACGGGGCTCTTTCGCTGGGCATAGTCGTTGAGGCCAGGGAACCCTTCACATCCATGCACTGATGTCACGGTATGGAACATCATGACCTCGGCTCTTCTTCTTTCGCAGATACAAGTGTAAAGATTGTGAGCAAAATAGCTACTTTCAGGAAGCTGTCACAACTCCATGTAATGCCTGTCCTCATGTCGTGGAATGCCATGATGCGCCACCAGGCAAGGCCCTCTTTCTCTTCCGGATGATGAACTTGGCAGGGATTGTGCCGGGCAGGATTGCCTTTGCGACCATTCTGGCCCCTTCCGGGCTTGTCAATGAGGCGTTGACGCAATTTGTGTCGATGCCCGCTGACTTTGGGTTGACTCTCACACGGGAGCACTACTGCTGCGTTTGAATTCTAGCGAGGTCTGAACAGCTAGATTATAGAATGGGGGAATCTTCCGCAAATCTTCCACACCAGCAGCTTGGCAAGGAGCAAATAAAGACAGCTCCGGTTTCTAAGGGTGGTTCTGGCGTGATGACCATCACCTGGGAGGAGTGCGCAAGGGCAATGGTGGTGCTACTGTCAACAAGTGGTTACGCAAGCGCCTTAAAGGAGGGAGCATGAGCACCTGTGTCAATACTGTACCGTGTAGAGCCCTGGACATTTGTGGTGCATTGCCCAGAAAATGCACTACAAATGTCCCCAGGGGACCTAGTTGATAGAGTTCTTATAGTACTGGCAGAAGTGCTCAACTTCCTTTCGTGGTGCTTGTATAACTGCTCGTTGACCCATCTTTATTCTAAGATTCTCAAAATATTCCCGTGTGGCTGGTAATTTTCTAGCTTTCTGCAAATGCCCCAGTGGAATTTCGTGTCATGGACAGCGATGCTTCCATATGGCCTTTCAGGGCATCTGCTACCTGCTGTGCACTCCGTGATGTCATTAACAAGGCAGACGTCAAACAAACGCGAAATTTATTTAATTTTTTTAATATTATTATATCACCCTTTTGTACTTGAATGGAGTTTTAGAATCGATAGCGCAAATTTCTGTGGGATCTCCATTTCAATCAGTGGTGAGATGAGATGCTACAATAGATCACTCTTGCCCTGTATATCCTCCCAAGCTCGGATTCCAGCCACCGGCATAGAATAGGCGATATTTTTGAAATTCCTATTTAACTTTCCAATTAGTTTATAAGTAGTTAGTTTTGTATCCTGTAGGATCAGACACTTCCTGGTGATCTTAGAGGAACACACTTCACCAGTGTGTTCAGAACATGGACAAAGAGAAGGCATGTCTTAATTATGAGTTAATTTTAGCAGTGTTTATTTCAATATTCATTCATTTATTCATTCAGGCCTTTGGAGTGGCCCCCAAGAAGCATGAGACTAATGGATTCAAATATGCCACAGTAACTTACCATAGTTATTTGTCATCCAATCTTGTTGGCATTTATGTCATCCACTTCGTCCTTGTGGCTGTAATATGGTATAGTGTGCTGGAAACTTTTCTCATTAAAAGATGAATCAAGGGATTCTGAGTAGCAATGACTCTGTAGAAAGTAGTTTTCAATCTCCATCAACACAAAGAGTTTGCAAAGAAGTTTCTTCTTTAGTCTGCAGTATTCAATCTAATCATGAAATTTAAGAGGATTAGTGTGGAGGAACCCTCCACTACTTTGATCCAGAAAATATGTATTTTTTAGATTAGAGTAGCAGACGGTACCTCCATACTAATCCTCCAATAGGATAGATTTTCCTCCACATTTTTGCTTTGTAGGTCCTAATGTTTAAAAAATCAGATTTAAAGCTGGAACTTAAAGTCACCAGAAACTTACCTCATCAACTGCCACTCCTTAACACTGCCAGCCCGAGCAAATCACACTAGTGAAATTGTATAAACTGACTTTGGTTTAGATTTTGACTAAAATATTACATTTTGCACTAGGCCCTAAACCGTGCATCTGTATAGAACTGTATCCATGCCTTTACAGTGCCCAAATTGAATGGGTGCAATCTCACAGCTCTTACCTCAACTTGTTTGTGTGAGGATCTCCAACAACCAATGCTTACAATGATGTTTAAAGTTCCCCTGTTTCATGAGGAGTGCACTTAAATGGTCCAGGTCTATATTTTCTGGATTACCAAACTTGGAGCGATGGATGGCATGGCCAAACGTGGATAAGACTTTTTGCTTTTTTGAAAAAGAAGCATGAGGTACAATAGGTAGTTGAAGTTGAACATGTCTTTGTTGTCTTCGTGCACCTAAGTTTTGCCACCAATATGCTAGCTTGTTGGAATGATCATCAAACCTAGATCTTGATCGATGATTACATGGTTTCACTCTGGAAGCTACCCCTTATTTGTGTTTGTGAAATGTAATATTAACCATTCCAAAGACAACAAGCTTATATGGGTGGAATGAAAAGTTACAAGAATATCATTTACTTTGCACACAAATTTACATTGGATCACTAAAGACAAAAGTTGGTTTCAGACAATGAATTTTATGTATTAGAACAATTTTACTCTAATTGGAGTTCTAGACTAATTAGCAAATGGTCTTTGGTTTCAATTTACTTTTTAAAACCATTTGAAACCTGGCTATTTTCTCCATTCGCATTGTTTGAATCGGGACATTCCAAGACATATAAATTTGGCTGAGACACAAGCTGTGACTCTCCTTCCCTTGATTCTACATTTTACACTGGTCTGGAGTCTAGAAAGTTCGTGCCTACGGGTGGCAGAAACGACCACCGGCTGCATTTTAAGCTCCGAGTGTGCTGCTACGCATTCAACAGGGGACCTGGGGACCACGTCCTTGCAGGAAAAATGTCGATCTCACAAACGGTTTGCTGTTCATCCTCTGTGCCGGAAGATGTTTCAAAGTCAGCTGCAACACATCAAACATTTCGTATCAAGCCTGGTTCTACTTACGTGCGCGGAAATGGTTTCAAAATCTACCGGGGAGTTCCATTGGGATCCGAGCAGCCAAAGCTCATAAGCAAACCATATCAGCTATATAAGTAACGAACGAGCTTTTTCTCACCAGACTAGAAGCCATCGGTCTCCAGTAGCCTTAGAAGAGCCGCCACAACCGCGCTGCTGGAGATGTCTAGGCCAGGATTTCCAGTCTTTGCAAGCAGCAGCGCGTCCACTCTCTTCCGGAGCTCCTTGATGAGCACGGCGATCCGAGCCGGGGCCTCAAACTCCAGCCAGCCATCCACCACGATCATCTGCCTCTCGTGACGAACGCTGATGCTCCCTCCGAAGATGAGAAGGCTGTAAGCCGGAACCATGGACGTCTCCCTCGCATACACCTTGGACGTCTTCACCATGTCCGTCACTACCAGCCAGGGGCTCTCGAAGTGCCCCGCCGAGAAGTTAACGCTGGCCGGATGGAGAAACACCCTGCCGTCGAGCCTTGTGAAGTACTGGACCTCGTGAGCTGCCGCTAGCTTTGGCACGGTTCCACCCTCGGTCTGAACGTAAGTCTTCTCGGGGTGGCGAACTCTCGCGATTTTTGGATAGAAGCCGGCACAGACGACTGCCTTGATAACTCTGACGCTGTTGGAGCTTCCCTCGAGGCTGGATATATCACCGGGTACGAATCCAAGCTCTCTGAGTACGTTGAGGTAGTCTTCGCGGCTGGCTTCTATGCTGGCTAGAGCTTCCCGTGACAAGAAGTTGGAGGCGCAGTAGTCCTTTTCGGCTTCCCATCCGTCTCGTCTCGCGGTGATCCATCCGTTGTAAGCAGCAACGAGAGCTATGTGGTCGCTCTTGCTGGTCCCGGACAATCTCAGCTTTGCTAGTCTCGCCTCCTCCCTGTTGTCCTGCGGGGAGAAGAAGACCGGGCGTCCGCTCATGCTGGCAGCTATGGTGAGGACCGGATCGAGGCACTTGAGCATGCAGCCGAAGACGAGCATTTTCCCGACGCGAGCATCCACGGGCATCTGTGTAAGATGTCTGCCGAGGGGTGTCAAAGTCTCGTTCTCCGCATCAAACGCGTTGATGTCCTTTAGTGACTGAACTGCTGCAATAACAGCGTCCGGGTCGGGAGGCGTGGGCATTTTAGATAGAGTTGATTGTACTTTTGATTGAAGAAGAGACTTGACCTGCAAAGAGCTCCATGAAACCAGCTATTGAAAGATTCTTTCTTACCTTAAGACATAGTCCTTCAAGGGAGACTCTTTGTATCTCTGGAAGCTGGTGATCATCGAAAGCTTTGAACTGCTTCTTGCTGTAGAGCCTAAGACAGCAGCCAGGCTGAACACGGCCAGCTCGACCAGCCCGCTGCTTGCAACTTGCTTTTGAGACCCAGGTCTCCTGCAAGCACGACAAGCCTTTCGAATGATCATAGCTCATTTCCTTGTGACGTCCTGTATCGATCACATACCTGCGAGGAGGACATCAAAACCATGTCGGAGGAAAAACAAGAAAATACTTACAATATGTCGTCAATGGTGATGCTAGTTTCAGCAACATTCGTTGCCAGGACTACTTTTCTCACACCCCGCGGAGGCCTCACAAAAACTCGCTTCTGTTGTTCACTCGAGAGCGAGCCATGCAATGCCAGGACCCACTTTCTTTCAACACCATATGCTGATAGTTGCTTGGAATTTTGAAGCCTGGCCTGAAGTTTGCTGATTTCCATCATTCCAGGAAGGAAAACCAGCACGGATCCAGCTTCTGCTTTCCAGTTGCTAGTATCATCCACCGCTATCAGAGGTCCATAAATATCTGAAACTTCACGTTCAAGTGAAAAGACGGTGGACAGCAATAGCTCGATAAGTTCGTAATTGATTACGCTCTCATCAACCGTGTCCAGGCTCCGCATAGTAGCTTCACTGTATTCCATATTTGTTTCAGAGTTTTCGACTACCCTGGATTCCCAACTGTCAAAACTGTTCGAGGCAGATGTTGTCATGACTTCGCTCTTGGCCTTTTTATTCGTCGCAAATCGAGAGTTTTTTGTTACTTTATATCCTGTCAGCTCTAGGACGTCGTCCAGATGTAATTCTCGAACTGGGAATGTAAAGCCTTGTACTCGAAGAAGTTCGGGGCGAAGACCCAAGCCTTGTTGGAAATAATCAGCAAATAAGCTTGTTTCTGCTGTTGCCGACATCAAGATAACACGGATTTTGCCTCTTGTCCTGTCACAACAAAGCGAAAATATCAGAAAAAAAAGATAAGATACTAGCAAATTACCAGCCAACCTCTGTATATGCTCTCTGAGAAGTAATAAAAGAAGATCACTTTCAAGAGTCCTCTCGTGCACTTCATCTACAATAACATGGGTAACGCCTTCTAGCTCTGGATCAGACAGCATCCTCCTCAACAGAATTCCCGTTGTGCAAAACAGCAGTCTCGTGAATTTAGAGCAGCAGCTATCCAGACGCACGGAGTAGCCAACCTGAATAATCACACCAGATTTTTATAGAGTCAATAATAAACTGCTATACTTACCACTCTTCCAACGACTTCATTGCGTTCCATGGCAACACGAGCAGCCAGACCAAGAGCAGAAATTCTTCGGGGTTGGGTGCACATAATGTTACAGCTTCCTCCATTCCCCATTTCAATCTCTTTTTCGAGAACGTATTGAGGAATCTGAAAGAGAAACACACTTAAGAAAATGGCAAATAGCTTATCACATACCTGTGTACTTTTTCCACAGCCGGTTTCTCCACAGATAATAGTCACTGGGTTGCAGCTTATCCCTGCAAGTATTTCAGATTTTCGCTTGAAAACCGGTAAACTTCTTCTTGATGTCATGATGTCTGCGTATTGTCGTGACGTCTGGAGTCTTTCCCAGTCATCCTTGAGCCTTGTGCTTTCAGCGGCACAATCTATTTCATCCCACTGCCGGCTGCTTCTTTGCTTCCCAGCGACCACATGAGCTTTACTGTCTGCAGAGGTATGACGTTTTACATCTCCTCCTCGATCATCAACCTTTACTGGCTCTGAAAGAAGTTGCAAAGATACCTCGGCTGCATAACAAACCAGATCGTAGATCATCGGTATGCCAAGTAATTCCAAAGCACGGTTAGCCACCTTCTTCGTCACGGCTTGTAAGTACGAGGCATCCAAATCCTTGCATCGGAATCCTAGAACTGGAATTTCAAAAGGATAGGAGCTATCAGTTGAGATTCTAACCTGCAGCGTACCAGTATACTTAAGTATTAAGCGAAGAAGAGTGTAAGCAGTATTACCTCCATCTCCAATCTTTTCCCGGACTGTGGTGGAAGCTCCACGTCGAACTTTAAGAGCTCGTTCGAAAGAACAGCCGTGGGATATATGGCGCCGATTGCTACCAGTTCTTCCTCCCTCATAGCTGAAAGGTCCGACCAGGAAACCGTAGCTTGAAGTGTCTTCGTCCCTTGTACCGCAATATGGAAAAGCTTGGAGATGGCTAGATCGAAACTTCCGGTCTCCTGGAATGCTGCTACACACTGCTCATAGGAGTACCCGTACTGAGCAAGTTCTAAAGCGATAGCGTTCTGAGTTGGATCAAACTCGACTGCTCGTTGTACTACACGAACGGCGGCCTTGGACGCTTGAGGAGCAAACCGAGCCGGGAGATCACCTTCATCGACGTTTAGCATGAGCCAGTCGAGTGCAGAAGAAATGTTGTTCGCCTGTTCTAGAGCCGACTCGATGTGTTCTTCCTTGAAACCCATCTCTACTAATGAGGACAGCGCTTGAGCTTGATCCTCAAAGTCGGGAGCTTCCTCTACACTGCCAGTGCTGTCTGTTATCACCTCTTCCACCAGTTTTCTGTTCCCCTCGCTCATAAAAACCGACTGAAGCTCTCTGGGAGGATAGGCAACCCTTTTCGGCTTCTCCAGCTTCATTTTGAGCTTTGCTTCACGCTCTGCGGCAGCAGCGTCGAGATTATGCCACTGCTGTCGATACTCCTCGGGAAGTATTCGATCCAATCTACGTCAATAAGCGCATTGATCTATAAAAACTATAGCCTTGAAACCATACCTGCGGTTTCCCATTACGTGATGCAAAGCCATTACCGCTGCTCGGTGGTGTGATTCCTGTGAGCTTGGACTATCAGCTCGGCACCAAAGAATAACATCCAGTTCACTCTTCTTAGCATCTGGTAAGATCACTCGGCAGTGAAAGCTCCCTTCATTTTGAACCTATAACCAAAGAGAAAAAGCTCGAGCATGACAAAGAAGAGGTAAATACCGACATGCATGAACTTTGGAGCTGGTCTCTTGTTCTTCTGGCACCACTCGTGCAAGAGAGTTTTCGGCGTCTTCACTGGATACGAGGAAGAAGAAGAAGAAGAAGAAGAAGAAGACTGCTGCTGCGGAGCATCGGAGGAAGAAGAGGAGGAAGCTAAATTCTCCGTCGACGCCGGCGGAAGCTCCTCATCCGCGTGCTTGTTCTTGAGATGCTCCTTGAGGCGTCCATCCTGCTTGAAAATCCTGTCGCACAGGGGGCAGGGCAGGGGCTGCAAGGCAATCGATCCATTCAGAAAATGCCGCACTGTCGGATCGAAATCTCACAGACCTGGCCAGTGTTCTTGGCATTGACAGGCGCCGGCTTTCCGCCGCATCCAGCAGATCCAGATCGATAGACGTGCCGCGACCGCGCCTTCGCAGCGCTGTTCATCCGCTAGAACCCTAGCAACACCCTAGAATCCAATCCATTGGAAGATTTTAAAACGATTCCCCCCAAAACGAATATTTTCCCATTAAATCAACTGTTCTGTGGGCGTGTTTGGCTCAACAGTTTCTTCTAAACTTTGTACCTCCCGGGAATTTTTCTCTTCCAAATGGAATACTTTAGCGCCCACAAGAAACTCTTGAGCAATGTGATCTTTGTTCTTGCAAGCGTGATGATCCTGGGACTTTACTTTGTCAAGCCAGGAGCCTTTTATAAGCTCGATTTTTTGCCGGATCACACCACCACTTCTTCCATTCCAACGAGCTCTTCTTCTTCTTCTTCTTCTTCTTCTTCTTTCCCGTCCAAAGTTTTGCTCCAGCGCTTATCTGAGAACGGCACACGGGAATGCCACAACGTGAGTACCGCAGCCGCGATCCTGTTTGGGCTTCCCAGAGCAGAGAATGAAGGCGAGGTTACCTTGTCCACCGGTGTTCTTCACAAGCTCTGGATCGTCTCGTATGCTGGCGATGGAAGCAGGCGGTGCTTTGGAGGAGATTTCTTCGAGACAGATCTCTCAGGTACGTTACACTTGAAAGACGCTAAACGCATCCAGAGCTTTGATCCCCTGGAAAACAGGTCCCAACTGGAAGTCACGACCACCAGTAACAGATGTGGGAGATGGCTCCTACCTTGTGGAGCTCAAAGTGGACGACGAATTCGCAGGACCTTACACCTTCAAAGCCATCCTCCTGTTTCCAAACTTTCATGGCTTGGATCAGCAGCCAGACAAATGGGCCCTGAAGAAAGAGATGTTCCTACTGAAAATTCGCTTTGCATCCAGAAGCAGCATCTTCAAGTCCCGACCACTCCCGATCTGCAGCAGCAGCGATTTTAGATCGAACACAAGATGGTCTGGCAAATGGACGAGAACGAAATTTAACGAGTCATGCAAACTAGACAAGGAAGGACGTTACCGCTGCTTGGATGGAAACGAGAAGTGCGACGAGAGCCAGTGTAGCGGAGCTATCGCGAGCTTGGAGAGCAACGGTTGGGTGTACTCGGCACACTGTAAGTTCCAGATATGGAGCTCGAGCGAAGCATGGAAGTGCCTGGACGGGAAGAAGATCTTCTTCTGGGGCGACTCAAACCACCAGGACACCATCCGGAACCTCATGAACTTCGTGTTGGGATTCCACCACAACTCCATGCCACGGACCTTCATCGCCAACCTCACCAATCCGTCCCACCCCTCGCAAAACTTCACCGTGGTGGAGATTTTCAACGGCCACACCAATCCAAACCTCAACTTCCTGGGCCTCGCAACACTCGACGAGCCTCTCTACCGCGCATACGTGACGCAAGAATTCCTCCGCGGCTCCCCACCCGACGCGCTGATCCTCAACTCCGGGATGCACGACGGCGTCCGATGCAGCAACGCCAGCCAGTTCCTGGAATCCGCCACGGCCGCAGCGCAGTTCTGGAAAACCCTAGCCACGGGGGATAAGATCAAATCGAGGACCCCGCGCGTGATATTTCGCTCGACGATCACTCCGGCGGGCGAGTCGCGCTCCATGCCCTCGAATCCACAGAAGATGGAAGCATTCAACCAGGTCCTCGGGGACGAGATCCGAAGAGTGCTTGGCAAGGAGGTGCTGCTCGTCGATGCCTACGACATGACCTTCCCCTGGCACTACGATCACAGATACAGTGATGGTGGCCACTATGGGAGGCCGCCTTCCTTGACGCCCTGGTATGGCGGCATCGGCCACTACTACTTCGCTGACCTAATGCTCGTCCACGCCCTCCTCACGGCCATTTGCTCGTAGCAAGAAAAAGCTTTCCCGCCAAAATAATATGCGAATCTTGTCGTGCTTGAAATTTTAACGCGGGAGGATATTCGGCATCTTGCGCTTTGAATATACCAGATCTAGGGTTGTGATTTAGGTGGGTGTGGGCCGTCAGATGCGCACGAAATTTTGTTTGGAGAACACATTCTCGTCAAAAACAGGGCTGTGGGATTCCAGGGCCCGGCGACGCTCTTTAGGAGGGGCGGGGATGGATCGCGGCCTCTTGGATTAGGTCTTGGCGGGATCGATCGATTCAATCGCGGCGGCGGCTCGAGATGTGGGTCTTCTACACCTTCGCCTTGCCGACGACTCTTGCCCTGGTAGGGGGGACGCTGCGCTACTTCTCGGCGCCCAGCGTACCCACCTATGTGCTAATCACCGTCGGGTACGCGTGGTTTTGCTCCCTGTCGATCATAATCCTGGTGCCGGCGGACATCTGGACGGTGAGTGCGCGGAATTTCTCTTCCGATCCCTAGGGTTCTTGGCAATTCATAAACCCTGGAAGCTCAAATCTCTCTTGTTTCTTCCACAGACGCTCTCGGATGGAGATCCAACGCAGGTTAGTATGTTTTGGGGCTGGTCTTACTGGAGTACGTTCATTCTTACATGGTGAGTGAGCTCTTCCAAGCTTCGCGTGGAAGTTCCGTTTTTTTTCTTACCATTTCTTCCTCCAGGATTATAGTTCCTCTCATGCAAAGTTACGAAGATGCCGGGGACTTTACTGTAAAAGAGAGGCTGAAAACCAGCGTCAAGGCAAACGTTGTCTACTACGTCAGTGTTGGTGTGATCGGCATAATTTGCATCGTCATTCTCATCTCGCTCGACAAGCTGAAATGGTATGAAGCTCATTAATAGTTTTTGCGTTGAAGGGAACTCAGTGTTCTATTCTATCTTCCAGGAGTGGTGTTTTTGGCTTTGCCATGACGTGCTCGACACTTTTTGGGTTGATAACTGGAGCCTTTCTTCTTGGTTTTGGTTTGATAGAAATTCCTCGGAGCATGTGGCGGAAGGCAAACTGGCAGTACCGCTTCAAGTTCCTTACTCATCGTGTTGCCAAAGTCGCCGTGAATTTGGATGATGCCCATCAGGAGCTGTCGACTGTTGTTGTGGTGAGCATAGTCAGCTACTTAGGCTACGTTTGCTTCTTTTGACACCTGATCTTTGCTATAGATTTTTCGTCTCTACAGATTTGCCAAGCCATTTCTAACCAGATGTCGAGAAGAGACGTCCTACGACCGTGTATGGACTTCATTGAGCAAATGTTGGTTGAGATGGTACATGTTCTTTACCTTTTCATAGCCTTATGGATGATAACATTATTTTCTTCTCAGATGCAAGAAAATCCATCCTTCAAACCATCTGCGGGGCGTATGAGTGATAACGACATGGAATATGACCAAGACATAAGCGGGATGGCGGAACTAAGGCGTCGTCTTAGACAGGCGCACTTCACTTTTGCAAGATATAAAAGGTGTGTTCTATCAACGGTTTTTTCTTCATTGTTTACTACAAGTTGTTCCAGTGAATACGGGGCTCTTGTGTTGGAGGCTTTAGAGTTGGAAGATACGATGAAAAATTATGAGAGGGGTGCGGCTGAACAATGGTGAGATTTTCTTACGGGGTTTCGAAATTTACACTGATTAATTTTTTTTCAGGCTTTACACATCAGGGATTCGACCCCCAAGAACTGGCACCATGGCTCGTCGTCTGGACCATCTAGGTAATTCCTCCTCTGATATGCTATTGGCATAAACGTGGTTTTGCTGATTGTAGAATGGATTTGGCGATGTAGCTTGAGACCAAAAATCCTGCGGTTATTTGCTCTTATTTTTGGTGGTATGACAGCTGCATTATTGATCGCTGAGGCCACCTTGTTACCGGCTAAAGTCGACCTTTCATTCTTTTCATTCTTGATAAACGTTACCTCCGACAGCGAGATACTAGTGCAGGTTTGATTTTTGCTGCTACTCCTCATCATACCGAACTTCTATTTCCGCAGGTTCTTGCGTTCGTACCTGTGATGTATATGTGCGCATGCACGTATTTCTCTCTCTTTAAGCTTGGAATGTTCACATACTATTACTTTGCACCCAAGTATACAAATGCCGTGAGCCTTTTGATGATTTGCTCGTAAGAAACTCCTGCTAAATTTTCTGTCATTTGTGAGTAATCAAATTGTCATGCTTGTTGTGGCAGAATGGTCTCGCGCTACGCACCGCCAGTGTGCTACAACTATCTCGGATTGATCAGACTGGAGGACGAGCGTCACAAAAACACCGTCTTTGAAAAGGTATGGTCATGAATTTGCTAACTTTCTACGTGAACAGTGATCCCATTGCCTTTGCAGCGAATGGGAGTTTCTTCGTCAGGGAATTTTCTTTACACTTTCAATAGAGTGTATCCGATTTTTATGGTGATATACACGGCTGTGATCGCCACCAACGCTCTCAATCGTCTCATTGACTTTTTCGGGAGCTGGCGGAGATTTCGCTTTGACGAGGAGGCCGAAGAAACAGATGGATGCAATCCATCTGGTGTGATTATCATACGCAAAGGTACGTACTGAAGCTCTATTTTTTCTTTTCTTATTTGGTGCCGTTTACAGAACGGGCATGGTTGGAGCGAGGATCGGCTATTGGAGAGCACCTTGTGCCGCTAGCACGAAACTTTGGCAGCGAGGCGGATCATCAGGAGACAGAAGCAATGCTGCAGCAAGTAAGAAAGTTTACTTCGCAGTTTTCTCTAGTGCTGATAGAAGAAGCTTTGTTCCAGGGACCGCAAGAGCCGTTTAAGATCCACGCAAATGGCCATCAGCAGCACGCTGGTCCCCTTCCAAAGAAGGACGCCAACCAAGGATTCTCAGCTCCACCGCCAGCTCCAGCCCCGCCGCGAGTTCCTCGCGGCCCCCACGCGGACATCGCCGCAAAGTACATGGCGATGCGCGAGCAAAGAAAGGAAGGCCGGGGGCAGCCACAAGTCGGGATGACGAACTTCTCCAGAGCTCCCCCTCCGGTGATGCCGTTTATACCCGAGTCCATGCCGGTGGCGGTCCCCGTTGGTGGTGGTGGTGTTGGAGCTCCCGCAACGCGTTTTGAAGAGCAGGCATCGAGATGGAAGTTTGCTCTCCCGGAGTCTTTCTCGGGGCACAGCCAGAATTTGGCGGCGTCGAGAGAGCCCCCACGCCCGGTGGCGCCGTCGTCCGCCGATACTCTAGATAGCATCTTCGACAGCTTGAGGACGAGACGGGAGTTCGACGAAGAGGGTGACGACGTTGGTCTCACGCTATTGCCGAGGCAGTGAGACCGATGGTGTTGATACGTTTTTTCTTACATCCAAGGCTTCGTTCGCTGCTCGTCTCACTCAGCATTGTAGGTGCACGTAGCTCTGTCGCAGCTGCTCGGCGTGGATCTCCATTTCTCTGATGGTGGCCTCGGCCCTCTCGTGTAAGATGGTTGGAACGCGCACCATTTCTTGCCGGAACCAGTCCCTGAGCGTCATCTCTGTGCTTTGGCTCACGGGCTTGGCTTTCTTGCTCGTCGTGGGCCGCCTCCGCGCTGCTCGAGAGGTGCTCTTGATCGATGCTGGTATCAATGCTGCTGCTGGAAAGCTCGGTAGTGCTGCTATCTCGAGTACTTTCTCTTTTGCTCCTTCACTTTGTTGTGGTCGAGGAGCCACCACCACCACTTCCTGTTCTATGCGTTCTTCCATGGCGTCGTTCTTCACGTTTTCTCCCTGGCCCGCTAGATCTTCTTCTTCTTCTTGGGCATTTTGATCGCCCTCTTCTTTCACGGATTCCAGCTTCCTGGAGCCCGATCCATCGTGAAAAATGACCCTGATCCGGGTGTCCACCCCAATTCGCAGGAGGTCGTCGTTGTAGAGCCTATAGGGCGTCTTGACCCCGATCGAGACGCCGTTCACGGTGGTGCCATTGGAGCTCCCCAGATCCTGGGCCGCCCACGCATCGTCCACCCAGTCCACAGACATATGCTTCTGCGAGATGGTCTCATCCTTGATCTGGAACCTGTTTGTTCTTGTGCGCCCGATGGTGATGTGCTTGAGCCTCCCGGAATCAAACGTCGTACCTTGGACGATCCCCTCCTCCACACGCAGTGTGAGAGGCGTCGGCATCTTCTTGGCGCTGCCAATGTCGCTGCTGAGCGCCCGGATCGATCGCCTCTCATCCAAGAACCCTAACCCTCGCAAGAGGAAAAGTAGCCGTTCGTGCATTTCAAATTTTGGCGCGGCTTTATTACAGGGCAAATTTTTGTTTTTCTAGGGTTCTTGGCCATGGCGACGCCGCTCCAGCGGATTGTGAATGGCGCTCCACCCGGTGAGTGAGAATTTGCTTGCTTCTATATGAATCTCTGCTTCCTCGCAGCTGCTTGGGAGAAATGCTGGGCGGAGAGGTTGACGCCGTGGGATTTGGGAGGAGTTACACCATTAATCCAGCATCTTGTCTCGCAGGACCAATTGCCCCAAGGAAGATGCTTGGTTCCAGGCTGTGGATCGGTAAGCTACGCTAGAATTTGTGCAATTACCTCATCCTCAAGCGTGCTTTCTTTGATCTCTTATCTTTCATTTTCTTCTTCCAGGGATATGATGTTCTTGCATTAGCAAGCCCTTCTCGGCATGTTGTAGGCCTTGATATTTCCGAGACTGCTCTTGAACGAGCCAAAGAGGTAAACGATTATTTCAAGGGATTTTTTTTCTTCACTTCATTTTTACAAATGCCTCTTTTTTGCACTAGTTGGCATCAAAAAATACGACCACCCAGAAGTACGTGGAATTTAAAGCGGTCGATTTCTTTAGCTACAGTGAGCCGAAACCATTCGACCTCATCTTCGACTACACGTAAGTTGTTTCCTTGTGTACTTGTTTTTCAGTTTTTTCCAGATTTTTTTGTGCGCTGGAGCCATCTTTGAGACCAGCTTGGGCGAAGAAGATGGCTGAGCTCTTAGCGCGGGACGGCGAGCTTTTAACTCTCATGTATCCGGTGAGTGGAAGCTATCGTTCTTTAAAAGCTTTAAATACCATCGCAGGTTGGAGATCACGAAGGCGGTCCGCCTTATGCAGCGTCGCCCAAAGCGTGAGAACGTTTTTCTTCATCTTAGTGTTTATCATTCGCATTTTTATTACAGCTACGAAGCTGTTCTTCATCCATGCGGTTTGCATGCTTTATACTTAGAGGACAACAAGTTTAGCATTGGTGCACGAAAGGTATATAAAATCTTTTCGGTACAAACCTCTTGTGCAAGCCGTTCCTGTTCTTTTTTTCACACAAAATCAGGGACGAGAGATTCTTGGCAGATGGAAGAAAACAACACCAAGGATTTGACTTGTGCATCAACACCAAGGTACCTCTTTTGTTAGCTTTGATTTTGTTTAAAGCTGTGTGTATTGACACCGAAAGTTTCCAGGTTTGACACCGAAGTTTTCCTGGAGCATAAAACAAGCCCGTGTTACTGGACTGGACTGGACCGGACAGTCCCAGCAACAAAATATTATACTATACAGGCAGAGAGGTTTTCCAGCGTCGAGATCTTTGACAGTGTCTGCCGCAGCCGAGATTCGAGACAACACGTGAAACGCATGCCACCGCTCGCTTAACTTACGATAATCGATTCCCCAGATCCCGCTGCCGCAATCACGTCTCCCATCTTCCTCCTGACGCGAGCAGCCTCCTCCTGCCTCCCTGCCGCCACGTAAATGTTGGACAGCAGCACATACGGCGCCTCGTTGAGCGGCTCCAGGCGGAAGAGCACCTCGGCCACACGAGCCCCGCGCTCGACATCGTTGTGTGCCTTGCAAGCCGCCAGCAAGCCCATCCACGCCACGAACTCGGCCTCGAACGGCATCACCGCCAGGAGCTCCTCAGCCTCCGCCAGCCTGCCCGCCCGGCCCAGCACCGTCGCCATGCACACGTAGTCCTCCAACTTGGCTGGCGCGCCGCAGTCCCTCGTCAAGCAGCCGAAGTAGTGCCGCGCCGACTCCAACAGCCCCGCCTGCGAGCACGCCGTGAGGACCGTCCCGTAGATGAAGCTGCTGGCCTGGACGCCTTCCAGCTCCATGCTCCGGCACATCTCCACGGCCTCGCCACCCCGGCCGTGCTGCGTGTAGGCGGCGATGAGAGTGCTCCAGGACATTGTGTCTCTCACCTCCATCTCGGCAAACACGCTCCTGGCATCGCCCAAGCTCCCACACCGAGCGTAGAGGTTGACGAGGGACGTCTGGACGACGCTGTCAGTGTGGAAACCGGCGGAGGTTACTTGCGAGTGGAGAGACTTCGCGAGGCTCAAGTCGGTGACACCTTGCTGGACGTAGGCCGAGATCATGGCGCTCCAGGAGACCGCGTCCTTCACAGCCATGGCGTCGAAGATCTTCCTGGCCGCGTCTCCGTCACCACACTTGGCGTACATGTTGAGCAGAGCGTTCTGGAGCACCTCGTCCGTCGCAAGGCCCGTGGTAGTGGAAGCCAGCTTCTCGTGGACGGCCCGGCCTTCTTCCGCATTGCCGAGGCTGGCGCAGGCGCTCAAGACACTGGCCAGGGTGACGGCGTTGGGAGCCACGTCCATGGCTTTGTAGAGCTGGATCGCCTCCTCGCTGTGCCGGTGGTGCGCGTAGGAGGAGATCATCGCGGTCCAGGAAACCACGTTCCGGATCTTCATCCTGTCGAAGACTTTGCGGGCGCTGTCGACGCTGCCGCACTTCCCATACAAGCTCACCAGCGCGTTCGCCACCGCTAAGTCCGGTTTGTAACCCGCGGCTTTCATCTGTGCGTGGACGGCCTTGCCTTCTTCGAGAGCTCCTAAGCTGGAGCACGCGCTGAGGACGCTGGCAAACGTGATCCCATTCGGCTCCACGCCCTCGGACCCCATCTTCCGGTAGAGATCCAGCGCCTCGCGAGGGTGGCCCTTCCGGACGTAAGCGCTGATGATCCCAGTCCAGGAGACCACTGTCCGCTGCTTCATCCCGTCGAAGACTTCGCGAGCTTCCGTGATGCTCCCACACTTTGCGTACATGTTGACGAGGGAGTTTTCAGCAGCGGCGTCGAACTGGAAGCCAGCGTCCACCATCTGCCGGTGGACTTCCTTCCCCTGCTCCAGAGCCTCCACAGCCGAGCACGCAGCCAACACCGTCGTGTAAGTGATCGCGTTTGGCTCCACCGGCGGCGACGACGATCCCATGCTCTTGAACAGCTCGATGGCTTCTCGGGGATGGCCGCTCTGCGAGTACGCCACGATCATGCTGTTCCAGAAGAGCACGTCCTTCCAGCGGCAGTCGTCAAACACCTCCCTCGACTCCTTCAAGCTCCCACACTTGGCGAACATCGTCACCAAAGCCGAGTCCACGAAAACATCCGGCTTGAGCCAGATCCTCTTCATGTGTGCGTGGATCTCCTTGCCAACTTCCAGAGCTCGCGGACCCAAGCTCGAGCAGGCGTTGAGCACGGCCGAGAACGTAAATCCGTCTGGATCGATCGCCATGGCCTTGTAGAGCTTGATCGCTTCTCTCGCGAGCCCGTGCCTCACGTATCCAGCGATCATCTTACTCCAGGAGATGGAATCCCTCCTCCGCATCCCATCAAAGACCTTCTTTGCGTCCTCCAAGCTCCCACACTTGGAGTACATTTGCACCAGATGGTTCCCAACGTAGACATTCTCGTAGTACCCGTTCTTGACGACGTGCTCGTGGATCTTCTTCCCCGCCGCAAGCTCGCCGCAATCTCGCAGCAGATTCCCGTAGGCCGGGGCGCAATCCTCCTGCTGGTGGCTGTCGATCCACACCAGCGCATTGTCGAGGCCGCCGGGCAATGCCGATTTGCCTTGCTGCTGGCGCCGATTGTCGAAGAATGTGCTGTGCCTGCCGGATCGCTTGGCCTTACCTGGAGCGAGCCGGGTGCTGAAATCGCGAGAGACGATCGAGGCACCGCGCACGAGCACGACCTTCCGCCAGGGCATGCTAGAACCCTAACTGGCCATGGCCGGTAGTAAAACCCTGGAATATTTAAAAGATGCCGGAAATGTTTAAGCGCTGTTTTGTTTGACCAAATAGGAAAGATTCCATTATAATGAAAGCTCATATGCCTTCGCCCTTGTCTCAATGAGTGGTCCTCATCATCATATCGCAAAACAAATGGAAGGTCGATCTTGACGATGAAAGCTTTGTTTTTACCAATGTCTAGCTCTGCCTTGGAGACCGCGATGGGAGTTTTACAATGGTAAATTGGAGGCGCTTAATTGGCGCCGGGTTTAAGGTAAAACAGGGTATTGCTAAACCCTCTAGCCCTAGGAAGAGCTCCAAGCGGCTCAGTGGGCCTGTAGCTATGGCGGATCCTTGCGCCGCGCTGCCCGATGTTCCTGCCAAGCGCGCTCGCGAGGAGGAGGGAGGCGGCGATGGGATGATCGTCGTCGAGAATGGCTGCGGTAAAGTGGCCAATGCGGCGGCGATTATCACGCATGAGGAGACCGCCCCTGCTCCGGGCACCGGGCGGGCCAATCTCTCGCGGATCATGCCCGGCTGGTTCTCCGAATTGAGCCCGATGTGGTCAGGCATGGATTTCTTCTCTTCTCTCTTTCCCTGTGCTTGTTCCTCCTCTTCCTCCATTGGAATGTGTCGGTGCCGCAAAACGTCGTGTGGAATGCATTCGTGGCGAGAGCTTTTTTTTACTTATCTTTTTGTGTGTGCTTCTTTCTCAGGCGAGGCTCATTCCTTCGAGGTGAAGAAGGTCGTCTTTGAGGGCAAATCAGACTTCCAAGATGTGGTTGTCTTCGATGTAAGATCATTGCTCGTGAATCGAGCTTTTCTCCTCTCTGACTTCGCAAAATGTGTGTTTTTTTTCCAGTCGGTCTCTTATGGAAGGGTGCTCGTCCTGGATGGAGTGATTCAGCTCACTCAGAGAGACGAGTGTGCGTACCAGGAGATGATAGCACATCTTCCACTTTGCTCCATTGAAAACCCAGCAAAGGTGGCTCCAATGCGGCTGATAACTCACGGTTCGAACTCGAGTGTTCCAGGTTTTAGTTGTAGGAGGAGGAGATGGCGGAGTACTTCGTGAAATCTCCCGGCACGAGTCGGTTCAACAAATCGACATCTGCGAGATCGACAAAATGGTTGTCGATGTGAGTCCCTGTACTTTCGTGATGTGATGCTCAATCTGACCAGTGTGGGGTATTTTTCAACTACAGGTAGCGAAAGAATACTTCCCGGAGCTTGCCGTGGGATTCTCCAATCCACGAGTGAACCTCCACATTGCTGATGGTAGAAATAGAAGTGTATTTCCAGACCAAAGCTTTGTTCTTAGTTCTTGTGAATGCTTGCAGGTGTGGCTTTTGTTCGTGATGCTGCCCCTGGAACTTACGATGCGATTATAGTTGACTCTTCTGATCCCGTTGGTAAGTTTTTTGTTTTGGAGAGTTGCATTCTCTTCTGTATGCCCTGCTGACAAACTTACTGAAATCTCTTTCTTGCAGGGCCAGCGCAGCAGCTCTTTGAGAAGCCGTTTTTCGAGTCCATGGTGAAAGCCTTGCGGCCGGGCGGAGTCATTTGTACCCAAGCCGAGAGTCCTTGGCTCCATATGCCTATTATAAAGGACATAGTGGCAGCTTGCAGGCAAACGTTCAAGGGGTCCGTGAACTATGCCTGGACCACAGTACCTTCGTATCCAAGGTGGATGGCTTTCTTTTCGTTTACCTCGAGTTTTAACTTCCGAGTTCTAACTCACGGTTCTCTCGCAGTGGAGTTATCGGCTTCATGTTGTGTTCCACCGAGGGGCCCGATGTGAATTTTCGGAACCCCGTCGTATCTCTGGATAAGCTGGAGATGATCACCATCGGCGAGGGAGGCTCGGAGAAGCGTGTACCGCTGCCTCTCAAGTATTACAACTCGGACGTAAGCTCTTTCACGTTTTCTCTTGAGTCGCACTGGACACTGGAGCGATTGTCCTGCAGATGCACAAAGCTGCCTTTAGCCTGCCAATGTTTGCAAAGCGTGAGCTGGAGCATCTCCTCACGCCCTGAACCAAAGCGAGCAGGCCGGCAAAGGCCCTCTAGAGTAATGCGGTTCTTTCCTCGCAGATAATTTGGTACTGGGTCGTTCCTTTCAAAGTTATTATTAATGGGTGTCACCCGTGATGGGGTGTCCACTGCTTTTCAGCTATGTGCAGATTGGACACACTCACTCACGCAGCAGTGGCTGTACGTACGAGTATTCAGAGCAAAAAAAATATATTGAAAAAGAAAGTCACACACACACTCGGTAGCGTTCTATCAGATCAAGCCAGCCAGCCGGCCAGCCAGCCATTTCGAAGGATCCAATCGGCGAGAGAGATTGGTTCAACCATTCTATCATGTAAAAAAAGGTATGAGTTGTTTCCCGATTCTAGCTAGAGATTAGGCTCGTCTTTCCAGGGGCGAGTTTTCGATCTTTGTTTTGCTACTAGTTCGTACTCTGATAAGACTGATAAGCTCGGGGTCTCTGTTTGTCCTTGCGCACAGGGGGAAATTTTTGTAGAGATTGATCGGTCGGCCATGAAGAAGGAAAAGAAGAAGACAGACGCGGAAAAGAGAAGAATAACGAGATGGTGGAAACAGAAGCGTAGGCTCGGTGGTTCGTGGTTTTTGTCAACGAAAGAAGGCCCCGTGAATAGAAGGAGCGAGGAGAAGAAGAGAAAATAAAAGGATGAAGAGAGCTCTGAGCTATGGCGGAGTGGAGGTCGCGATAGAGACTCCCAAGCGAACAAGAGAGAGAGAGAGGGAGCTGGAGAAATAAAAATGGTGGTGGATGGATCGATCTCCATTCAAGGCTTTTAATTTCATGTGTGGAAATGGGGACAACCCTGAAGTAAATGCCTAAGTATTGCGAGTGTGGTGTTTGGCCTTCTCCCGTGTGGCGCATCGCGGGAGCGCCATAGGTAGAGGAAAGCGCCGATCGATCCATCCGGGGGCCCGGCGGCGGCGAATCGATTCGAGCATTGGAATTTGGTCGCGGCGCCAGATCGTGGTAAGCGGAGCCTCTCTTTTCACCTTCTTGTTTGTGGAGCCCTACGATCTAGGAGAGCGAGAGGGAAAATTCTTGGCGCTAGGCTACGCGTCGCGTTTAGGGGCGCGCGATTGTGGCTGCCTGCCAGGTCTCCTCCGCCTCCTCAATCCCTCCTCCCTCTCTCGGAAGATCCTCTCTCTTGTGCTAGATAGAAAGATCGCCGCTCCATCTGTCCTCTTGCGCTTGTAGCCGTTTGATTGCCAGCGTCTGATGCGCCTCGCCTTGGCTGCTTGTGCGCAGATCGGATCGTGAGGAATCCGCATTGCCAGCGACGGGATTCTTCGCTCGCATCGACATGGATCGCAGCTTCTCGCCGTGGAAAGGATGCCGTCGCCAGTGTTACAGTGGATGGTTCTTGGAGGATGGGAATGCTTAGGCGTTGCCCATGTCTGGTTTCCTCTCCAAGATCAAGGCTCGTCTCGAACCAGGCCAACACTCCACTTTCAAGGAGCCGGGTAGTTTGTTTTTCTTCTTTTCTTTTCCTTGAGTTTCGTTCTTCTGGGGTATAGGATGGGTACGAGCAGCGCTGGAGGAAAACACGGACGAGCAACAAGAGGTATGTACACTATACACTAGTTTTTTTTTTTTTTTTCCTGTTCTTTGTTTCTTTGATGTGAGCGTTGTTCCATGCTTTAGCAGGAGTCGGAGGACGCACCGCCTCCTCCTTTGCTAGTGGATTTGGTGGAGCGGATGGAACGCGTGAGTCTTGATTCTTCTCCGGTCGAGCATGCGGCAGACGCAGTATCCGATCGTGACAACTCGTCACCTCAGAACGCGTCACAGGAAATGTGGGAGCTGGACAAGTTCGACAGCGTGCTGCCGGATGGCTTTTTCTCGATCATTCCCGTAAGTTTGTAAGTTTGTGAACTTCGTGCGAAGCTATTTTGGTTTTGTGTTTTTTGCAGCACGATAACTCGAAGGTTCGCCGGCCGACGCTTCCTAGTGTGGCGGAACTACGCGATGCCGATTGTGCGATTTGGGATGTTATCCTGGTGGATCCTAGACGGGACAAATTGCTTGTCAGGTTGAAGGAGCTTTGCCTTGAGATTGTCAAGGAGGTCGACCCGAACAGTGCAGACGCCATCCGAAGAGTTGCTGGCATGGTAATCTTTTTTTTCTAACTTCTTGAAGCAACATCTGAAAGAGCTTCTTGCAGGTTGCGGACTTCTATGGTGGTCCTCTCTTTGAAACAGGCTACTCAAAGGAGATAAGCTCAGACGCGGGTGTGACTTTGCTAAGTCAAGTTAAAATTGGTTTGTGCCGTCCACGTGCGCTGCTTTTCAAGTACCTTGCAGATGCTATTGGACTAAAGAGCCGTCTTTTGATGGTATGTTCTTATGCTGTTCATATTGCGGCTTAACGTTTTCTCTCTTTTGCCAGGGTTTGCAACTGGATTCTGTTCCCAGCACGTCATTGATATGTTCGAATCCAAGACGACATTTGACAAACGTTGTGCATTTAAACGGGAAGGAGTTGCTTGTAGATGTGATGCGCCATCCGGGACTCTTGAGATCCTTCACAGTTAAAGCTTTAGTCATGTACCATATTTCTGGACCTGGGGATAGCGATTCTACAGAGTACGATTCGTGCGATTCTCCACTCGAGCCTAACAGTCCTCTTTTTTTCGGTCCACCTGAAAGGTAACTTCATATATTGCGATGCAGTTTAAATTTTTTTTTTTTCTTGCTTCTAGCCCCTCTCAGAGCGAGCCGGACGTGAACAACCTATTGTCCCGTCATAACCGGAGGAAAAGCATGTCTGATGACCGTGGGAACAAATCAAGGTGTGCATTGAACTGTACGTCGGTTCCAGTTCAAATTTGAGTTGACATTGTTGGCAGTAATTTTTAACTACAAAGTGAATGGCTTTTGACAGTCCTGAACTTCCATCCGAAGTAAAGTATTTTCAGAGGAGACATAATATGGTGGACGGTGCTCGAAGTTTTCCCTCAAGGTGGTATGATCATTTACTTTTGTTTTTCTTTAGTTAACTTTTGTCATTTATGTATGACACAGTCCAGAGCATCCCCAGGCTCGCCTTCGTTCTTTCCGGCCTATTAAATCTCAAGACGGCAGCAATTCGAGGTCAGACATAGACTAATCTTTTCCTTCTCATTCTTTTGTTTTGATCTTAACAGTAGTCCAGAAACCGGTGTGAGAATACGAGCACCATCAATTTTGAGTGGTAGTAGAAGGCTTCCCGATGAAGAGCGAACAACAAGTACATCCAGGTAGTCTCTCGCGTGAGAATTTTCATAACACTTTTAAGTTTTTGCAGTCCTGATAATTCTCCCCAGCATGAAAATATATCGGTCTCCAACTTTAGGAGGCGTTCTTCGTCATTCTGCGTTCGAGAGGCTGAAAGGATAACCAGTTCTTCTTCGGAGACTCGAAGAGTTAGGAAACGAACAAATGCTCCTGAAATCAGCGATGACGTAGTGAGGTAGAATTCGACTTTTTATTTGATGATTTATTTTTTGAATTTTAAAAGGGTCGTGCGTGCTATCAACGAGGTAGTTAAACAAGGGAAAAAAGCGAGCGAGCAGGAAGCACAAGCAAGACTGGTTAGCTGCTTTTTTTATAGTATGACTTTTAACAGTCTCCCACAGGAAGAAGCTGTTAGCGAACCGAATTCATTAAAGCTGTGTGGAAGTTCATCTTCTACACAATCGTTTTCTAGTGATCCGGCTAGGATCTCTAGAGATTTTGGAAAGGAGTGCGGATCCTCTACGTCAATCAATGAACTCCTTCCAAATCATCCGATAATGCCGTACACAGAGTGGACTATTAACTTCACGGAGCTACGTATCGGCATTCGTATTGGGATTGGTAACTTCAAGCGTGTTACATTTTCTGTGTCCTTGATGCTAGAAAGCTAATGTTACAGGATCTTTTGGTGAAGTCTTTCGTGCGACTTGGCGAGGTACGGAGGTTGCTGTGAAGGTCATGCTTGAGCAAGACCTTACACGGGAGAACACCGAAGATTTTTTCAACGAGATCTCTCTCTTGAGGCAAGTTGCATTCTTTCATTTTCCTATATCCTCGTAACCTTGATTTTACCTGGACATGAACAGCCGGCTACGGCATCCTAATGGCAAGTGCTTTCATCTCTTTCTTTGTCGTTGATCTGATATGCTTACTCACAGTCATCTTGTTCATGGGAGCATGCACGAGTCCTCCTCACCTGTCAATGGTTACCGAATACATGCATATGGGCTCACTCTATCGCCTCATCCATATGAGCGGACAAGGAAAGAAGCTAAGCTGGCGAAGAAGACTGAAAATGCTACGAGATATCTGCAGGTATCTTTCGCGCTTTCCCTCTACTGGTTATTACTCTCTAACGCAGAGACGCCGTGATTTATTCAGGGGGATGATGTGCGTCCAACGCATGAACATCATCCACCGGGACTTGAAGAGCGCAAACTGCCTAGTGGACAAGCACTGGTGCGTGAAAATATGTGATTTCGGCTTATCGCGGCTCACCACCGGGACTCCTATCCAAGAGACGACTGCCGCTGGCACGCCCGAATGGATGGCTCCGGAGCTCCTTCGCAACGAACCCGTCTCCTACAAGTGCGATATATTCAGCCTGGGAGTGATAATGTGGGAGCTGTGTACTCTGAAGAAGCCGTGGGATGGTGTCCAGCCTTTACAGGCAAGTAACTCTTTACTCCTCTCTTTGTTTCGCGAAACTTAGCTCCTTGTTCTTCCTTCCAGGTCGTGCACGAAGTCTCTGTGAAACGATCCCGTCTGGAAATTCCTCAAGGCCTCCTTGGAAAGCTCATCGCTGGTAAGAAGATCTCGAGGATTTTTCTTCGATCTTTGTGTTCTTCGTGGTTGATCTTTGTGTTCTTTGTGGGGTTCTTAACGCTGTCTTCCAGATTGCTGGCAAGAGAACCCACAGGAGAGGCCAAGCTACGATGAAATACTCACTCGTCTCCACGAGTGTGAGTTTTTGCTCGGCTAGAAAGGAAATATCTTTGCTCTCACAGTTTTGGTCCCCTTTTTCCAACATTGTACAATCAGTGACGAATAATAAACGCGGCATATTTTTCATGTGGAAATATTTTAGGGTTAGGTTAACCGGCGACGACGAGCTCTCATTTTTTTCGCTCTTTTGCGGCAGGAGGCCGACGACGCTCGCCGATAGCGCCTCCAATCGATATCTCGGATTCGCGGCCAGGGATTGCGAGATTGATGCGCGCTCCA